CCTTCAGCACAGCGGGGCTGGAGACGCCGGGTGGGAAGGTGTTTGTCACCCGGGCATGGCACGGAGGGCACAGCGCTGCTTGTGAGTCCAACCGGGAAAGACACCTCAGTGCTGGTCCCGCAGGTAACCCTGTGCAGGTGGGAGCTTTGGCTGTGGGGGCAGCGTTGGCAGTTGTCGCCCCATGGGGCAGGAGAGGAGGGCACAGCCTCTACCCGCTGCTCTCTGCTCCGAGGTTCTTTATGTGTGTGTCCCATGCCTCTAAAGGGCGATGGGCTCTTTGGCTTTACTCCCTGTCAGGACCTATTTGCAGTGAGGGGTGAGTAACAGACAAGGAATTTCAAGCTGGCAAAGCCCATTTGGCCGAGCGCCCTCTCCGTGTGTGTGCTGTGGGTCTGGCCAGCCCAGCAGTTTGTGTTCAGCACATCATCTTGAATGTGTTTGTCAGGGAAAGCCCTTCCTCTCTGTGCCACGTTACTCTATTGCTGTCTTTAGCGTATCACAAAGCAGCAACAAACTAATCTGGAGGCTCTTTAGGAGCAGCACTGGTCCTGCAGAGAGCTGTGCATGGCTGCAGTGGGATGGGAGCTCTTGCTGTTGGGGATTTGGCTGCAGAGCTTGCTGTGTCTCGCTGAGGGAGCCTGACAGTGGTGCAGGAGGTGCTCTGGGTGCTTAGGTGCTGGGTTTGGTTCTTCACAAGCTTTTCTGTGACACCAGTTGAGCTGGTGTGTTAAAGGCACAAAGAGTGGCTGCACTGGGTGCTCCTGTGTGTGCCTCCCTGTGATACAGCCACAGGGAAGCCTTCTGAGGTGTATTTTGGGGCTGCCTTGGTGTGCTGTGCACTTTGAATCTGCAGATCAGCAGACTGCAACACACATTTCATATGAGGAGAACATAAAGGCTTTGAAGATTAAGTCCTATCATAGGAAACAAAGCTTAAAGAGATGGGGAGCAAGGCTTTGCTCAGATGTAGGGCTGGTGCGAGCTGCCAGGGTAACAGGCCGTGCACCAGCACTAGATGGGATTTGCCAGTGGCTGGGTGAAGGTCTGCCTCTGTCCAACTAAGCTCTGTGTGCTCTTTCCCCAGGGACTGTCACTAGCCCATCCATTCCCCTGACTCTTACCCTTGGAGGAGGCCAGTCATGGGAGAAACAGGCAAAGAAGAGTATAAAATACAGTCGTTCGACACCGAGACGCAGAAGCTGCTGAAAACAGCCCTCAAAGGTCAGGAGGCTTTATACTTGCTCCTCTGCTGCAGCTTGGCTGGCACGTGAGGCTGAACCCCTGTAAGGAACACCCAGTGCTAAGTGCAGAAAAGCTGTTCCATAAATACTGTTCATCCCCAACTGGGTCCTGGTGGTAAATCTTCTCCAGGAAGGTCTTTGCTCCCCACCTCTTCTCACCCCCTCTCTCCTTCTCCGCAGTGTTTAATGCTGCAGATGTTCGAACTCAGCTCCTGGTTCTCATCGCTGGGGTTCTCTCTGATTTTGGGGTACCCCCTTTCCTGCTCTAACCCAGCATTTCTGCCCAGACCTGGCCTCTCACCCCTGTCCCGTGCCCCAT